GTCATCACTGGCGCCCCCTGCCCTGGGTCTCCCCATCCCACCTCTGCAAGGTGTCTCTCAGACACTTGACCACAGTGGTGAGCCGCACGGGATGCAGCACCGCCTCGTGACCCCCTGGCCTTTGTGGGTCTCCTTGACCAACAGGACTTCTCACCTGCCCTCTTTCTCTTTTCCTTCTAACCTGTCCCACAGCTGCCTGAGATTCTTTCTTTTTTAAAAAAAAATTAATTAATTTTAATTGGAGGACAACTACTTTATAATATTGTGATGGTTTTGGCCGTACATTGACACGAATCAGCCACAGTGCACATGTGTCCACCTATCCTGGACCCCCTCCCACCTCCCTCCCCACCTTATTATCCCTCTGGGTCATCCCAGAGCATTGACTTCGGGTGTCCTGCTTCATGCATCGATTGGCACTGGTCATCTATTTTACATAATGGTAATATACACGTTTCATTGATATTCTCTCATATCATCCCCCCTCTTTCCTTCTCCCACAGAGTCCAGAAGTCTGCTCTTTACATCTCTGTCTCTTCTGCTGCCTTGCATATGGGATCATCGTTATCATATTTCCAAATTCCATATATATGCATTAATATGTAGTATTGGTGTTTCTCTTTCTGACTTACTTCACTCTATATGATAGGCTCCAGTTTCATCCGCCTCATTAGAACAGACTCAAAAAAAAAAAACGGAACTTTTTATAGCTGAGTAATATTCCATTGTGTATATGGACCACAACTTCCTTATCCACTTGTCTGCCAATGGGCATCTAGGCTGCTTCCATGTCCTAGCTATCGTAAACAGCACTGCAGTGAACATTGGGGTACATGTGTCTCTTTCAATTCTGGTTTCCTTGGGGTGTATGCCCAGCAGTGGAATTCCTGGTTTGTATGGCAGTTCTATTTCCAGCTTTTTAAGGAACCTCCCTGCTTATTTAACTTATATGCAGAGTACATCATGCGAAATGCTAGACTGAATGAAGCACAAGCTGGAATCAAGGTTTCCAGGAAAAATATCAATAGCCTCAGATATGCACATGACACCACACTTATGGAAGAAAGCAAAGAAGAACTAAAGAGCCTCGATGAAAGTGAAAGAGGAGAGTAAAACAGTTGACTTAACTCTAACATTCAGAAAACTAAGATCATGCATCTGGTCCCATCGCTTCATGGCAAATAGATGGGGAAACTGTGAAAATTGACAGACTTTTGGGGGGGCTCCAAAATCACTGCAGATGATGACTGCAGCCATGAAATTAAAAGATGCTTGCTCCTTGGAAGAAAAGTTATGACCAACCTAGACCGCATATTAAAAAGTAGAGACATTACTTTGCCAACAAAGGTCCATCTAGTCAAAACTATGGTTTTTCTAATAGTCATGTATTGATGTGAGTGTTGGACTGTAAAGAAAGCTGAGTGCCAAAGAATTGATGCTTTTGAACTGTGGTGTTGGAGAAAATGCTTGAGAGTCCCTTGAACAGCAAGGAGATCCAACCAGTCCATCCTAAAGGAAATCAGTCCTGGATGTTCATTGAAAGGACTGATGCTGAAGCCGAAACCCCAATACTTTGTCCACCTGATGTGAAGAACTGACTCATTTGAGACCCTGATGCTGGGACAGATTGAGGGCAGGAGGAGAAGGGGATGACAGAGGATGAGATGGTTGGATGGCGTCACTAACTCAATGGACATGACTTTGAGTATACTCCGGGAGTTGGTGATGGACAGGGAGGCCCGGCATGCTGCAGTCCATGGAGTCGCAAAGAGTCGGGCACGACTGAGCGACTGAACTGAACTGACGACTGAAGGAATCTCCACGCTGTTCTCCATAGTGGCTGTACCAGTTTGCATTCCCACCAACAGTGTAAGAGGGTTTCCTTTTATCCACACCCTTTCCAGCTTTTATAGTTTGCAGACTTTTTGATGGTGGCCATCTGACCAGCGTAAGGTGATACCTCACTGTGGATTTGATTTGCATTTCTCTATTAATGAGTGATACTGAGCATCTCTTCATGTGTTTATTAGCCATCTGTATGTCTTCTTTGGAGAAATGTCTGTTTAGTTCTTTTGCCCGCTCTTTGATTGGGTTGTTCATTTTTCTGGTATTGAGCTGCATGAGCTGCTTGTATATTTTGGAGATTAATTCCTTGTCAGTGTTTCATTTGCTATTATTTTCTCCATTCTGAAGGCTGCCTTTTCACCTTTCTTATAGTTTCTTTCATTGTGCAAAAACTTTTAAGTTTAATTAGGTCCCATTTCTTTATTTTTGTTTTTATTTCCATTAGTCTGTGGAGGCGGGTCATAGAAGATCTTGCTATGTCTGCCTATGTTTTCCTCTAAGAGGTTTATAGTTTCTGGTCTTACATTTAGATCTTTAATCCATTTTGAGTTTGTTTTTGTGTATGGTGTTAGAAAGTATTCTAGTTTCATTCTTTTACACATGGTTGATCAGCTTTCCCAGTACCAGTTGTTAAGGAGCTGCTTTGATCATGTGACTTCCTCCCTCCTTATCAGCTGGAAAAACCCAGAAGGATAAGTGACCTCACAGCATTGAAGGGAGAATTAAAAGAAATCACATGATGTGAAAACTATCAGTTTCACAATCAATGTTCAAGAGCGAATTGTTGACTTGACCTGATTGTTTGGCTTTTGCCAGTTTGGCAGGTGACCAGTTACCAACAATTGTCTGGATTCCAGGCAGTGAGGCTGTTAATAAGTGCACATATCCTTTCTGATCGTCTCATCAACTCTGTAAATAAGATTCTTTTCTTAAACTCATTTTGTGGCTGAGGGAACCTTGACCCAGAGAGCTGAAGTGATCTGTCCATGGTCCCCTGAAGACTGAGCGCAGAGCTGAGGCTCAAGTCCAGGGCCTTCTTGGTTTCAAAGCCTGTGATGCCATAAGCTTCACTCAACGATTCCTTCTTTGTAAATGCAATGGTGGATGCTTGGGAACGTGCTTGGGGAATCAGATGAGTTATAAATCCAGAAGGGGAGGCCTGGAAGAGCCTCAGCGATCACCTGGTCCAATCTCCTCACTTCACAGATGAGGAAACTGAGATCCAGAGAGGCAACCTACCCAAGACTCACAGCTGGTGACAGAACCTGGAGCTGTAGGTGTCTGAACACCCCCTTGTTTCACTGTGAAAAACAGCACAGGAATAGAATGGCTTAACCCAATACTAAAAAATGAACACCTTTGTAACCACCAGCCACATCAAACGCTGGAATATTCCAGAGAGCCACAGGTTTGCTGGTTGGAGCCAGAAGTAGGTGGAGCAGAGAGGAACACTTCCCTGGCCATCTCCTCATGTCATGGGGAGACGGACCCTGCTACCTGTGAGCCTTGAGTTCTGGTGGTGGAGGAGGAAGAGATGGACCCAGATCCACAAAAACAGGGTATATCATCTAGAAAGTTCCAGGTAAATAAGCTGTAGCCTGTACTTTTAGCATAAACAGTTCTTGGAGATAAAGATGGTGGACAGACTGGACAGTCAACCACACTCTCCAATAAGATCTTCCACTGAAACTTACTCAGACTAACCAGGCACCATCGTAAACACTTACAGCCCCGTAAGTGAGATATTGTTAGTCCTGTTGTACAGAAAATGATGACAGTGCAGGGAGGTTGCTACCTTGCCTTAAATCCCTTGACACAGAGGGGCCTAGGCCCAGGCAACTCCAGGTGTGCTTGACTTGCTTCTGCTTTTTGAAGTGGATTCCTCCCCATGTCTCTGTGTGTGTGCTAAGTCACTTCAGTCGTGTCCGACTCTTTGCAACCCCGTGGACTGGAGCGCCCCAGGCTGCTCTGTCCATGGGATTCTCCAGGCAAGAAGACGGGAGTGGGTTGCCTTACCGTTCTCCAGGGGACCTTCCCAATCCAGGGGGAGTCTTTACCTCTAGCGCCACCTAGAAAGCATGTCTCAGTTCACCCATCAGCAAAACAAGTAATGATTACACAAGTGTAGGACTTAGAGAAAGCTCTGCCCGTCGAGACTCTTCCTGACGTCAAGTACTGTATCTTATTGGGACACCTATGTAGTGAGGTATCAGGAGAACTAAATTCCTGTGTTTTTAAAGAAGCGTAGATATTCAATGGGATACGACCAGAACTTTTCCTCACAATGGAGTAGGACATATTTAATTTTAAATTTAGGAGGACAAGTAAGACCAATTTAAAGCACAAGGGCTTAAATTGGATTAACTTTACACTTGTTGTAACACAAACGAAATGATTGGGGAGGTTGGAATAACTTAGTTCTCAGTGGGTTATTGTTGCTGTTGTTGTTTAGTCGCTAAGTCATGTCTGACTCTATTGCAGCCCCATGGACTGTAGCCTGCCAGGCTCCTTTGTCCATGGGATTTCCCAGGCAAGAATACTGGAGCAGGTTGCCATTTCCTTCTCCAGGGGATCTTCCTGACCCAGGGATCAAACCCGTGTCTCCTGCATTGCAGGCAAATTCTCTACCACTCAGACACCAGGGAATCCCTCCCAGTGGGCTGGCCTATACTATTTGCAGTTCTATATGATGCTATTCTGTATGCCCCCTTCATAGATCACAGCCTTGTCATGGTGAAGGGGCTTGTGTAACTCAGTGAAGCTATGAGCCATGTTGTGCAGGGTCACCCAAGGTGGACAGGTCATAATGAAGAGTTTGTGACAAAATGTGCTAGACTGGAGGAGGAAATGGCAACTATCTCCAGTATTCTTGCCTAGAGAACCCTACGGAAAGTATGAAAAGGCAAAAAGATATGATACTGGAAGATGAGCCTCCCAGATCAGAAGGTGTCCAAAATGCTACTGGGGAAGAATGGAGGGCAATTACTAACAGCTCCAGAAAGAATGAAGCAGCTGAGACAAAGAGGAAACAATGCTCAGCTGTAGATGTGTCTGGTGGTAAAAGTCAAGTCTGATGCTATAAAGAACAGTATTGTGCAGGAACCTGGAATGTTAGGTCCATGAATCAAGGTAAATTGGACGTGGTCAAGCAGGAGATGGCAAGAGTGAACATTGACATGGAGCTAGAGGAAGAAGGCGCAGGCGGGTTCACGGCTAAAGCGATCGCGCAGAGAGACAGAGTGGACGAAGAGGCCTTGAATTTCTCCTACGAGGTATGTCGGCATCCCCTCCTTTGGAGCATTCTTAGCAAAACCCAAAGAGAGGTGTTTGGGAGTTGCAGCATCTCTGGGAAGCCCATGTTGCGATGTTACAGAGGAAAAAAACCCACTGGAGGTAGAAAGGTCCACGCGGAAAGAAAGCCGTCTGGAGTCCAGGGGTCCCGGCTCTGCTAACAGAGTTTGGCTGACAGGTCTGCCTTGTACCCGTGTCTCAGCCGACTTGGAACGATCTGCTGGTCACGAGCGTGTGCTTTGGCTGGCCGTTTCATCCTCTTTGTTTTTCAGATGCTCGTGCGCCACAGAGGCGCCCCTAGGCCCCCGAGACCACCTCCTCTCTGTGTTGTCGCTGACGCCTGCCCATGGGCAGGAGTGCGGGTGCCAGGGGCCGCGGTTTCTGAACAGTGTGTTTTGCAGGATGATTTTGACAATGATGTTGATGCTCTTCTGGAAGAGGGCCTCTGTGCTCCCAAAAAGAGGCGAATGGAAGAGAAATACGGAGGAGACAGCGACCACCCATCGGACGGGGAGACAAGCGTTCAGCCAATGATGACCAAGATTAAAACCGTGCTCAAAAGTAAGTNAAGAGGCGAATGGAAGAGAAATACGGAGGAGACAGCGACCACCCATCGGACGGGGAGACAAGCGTTCAGCCAATGATGACCAAGATTAAAACCGTGCTCAAAAGTAAGTCGGGCCAGGAAGTCGTGTGGGTGCTCAGCCTCATGCTACGCTGGGAGAGCCCTCAGGCTGCCGGGCGGCAGTCTGGGCGGCCGTGTGCATCTGCAGGCAGGAGGGTCCTGTCGGTGATGGGAAGCTTGGAATGTGAGGACATACCCTACGCACTGCCGTGGTATGGGAAGGGGGCTTCCGGGCGTGTGGAGGCTGCAGACAGAGGCAGTGCTGAGTGTGGGGGCTGCTCGTGACCCCTGTCTGAGTTCTTGGTTCTGTGCCGAGCACTGGGGAAGCTGCTGGAAGCAGGCAGAACTCATTCCACAGTCTGTTCTGAAAGCAGACCCGTGGCTCACATGTGGGCAGAGGTGGAGGGGTCATGGGTACACTGGGAAGAGCAGTTGGGGTGCCTTTTGGTGTCAGGTGGGCGATGGGAAGGGGCTGGAGGGACTCGGGCACACAGGTGATGCCTTCCGCTGAGCACCGTGCAGGTGGCTAGCGTGACAGGAGGAACTGAGGAGTGGCCGGCATGCCGTCTCCTGGCCGCAGAGCAGACCCGTTGGCGGGGCCGGGCGTGTGTCTGCCGCGTGGGCTGTGGTCTGGTCACGGACACGCCTCCTCCTCCTCGGTTACCCAGGGCTGGTTGCAGGCAGCTGCTCCTGGCCCAGCCCACGGGCCTGGGGTGACTGTGCATGCCCAGCCTTGCCCTCCCTCCCAGGGCCGTCCTGACGCTGGTGTTCGCCTGGCATCAGCCACGTGCAGGTGTCAGACCTGACACAAGGGAGTCCTTTCCGTTCCCACAAGTGTTGGTGGGGCTGTTTTCATCTTGTCCATGTGTTTTTTTTAGATTCCATGTGGCATTTTGCTTTTGTTTCTGAGTTTTTCACTTGCTCCCAATACCGGTAAGAAAAGCAAGCTGTCCTTGAGTCTTTGTCTTGTGCATCTCCCAGCAGCCAGGCCTGTCCGTGGCAGCTCGGGACAGTGCAGGCTTGCCATCTGGTCACAGGGAGCAGTGACCCAGTCTGTGGTTCCTAGCGGAGCCTACCCAGCCCCTATGGCTGCACCCGCGGGAGGCGGGCGGAGAGGCGGTGTCAGGGTGGCAGAGCTGCAGCGAGGCCCTGTGTCTCGCAGAGTACTGTTTGGGCTCTGCGGTGTGTCCGGGGACTAGAGCAGGTGAAGAGGGTCTTGGCGCCCACGGGTCCCACAGAGGCTGGGGCCCAGCACGCATAGGAGCAGGCTTGCAGGCGGGCCTGGGCTCTCCTGGTGGGGGTGGGCCGTCCCCACCCTGCTCAGAGCTTTTCTGTAAGGCCGGCTACAGCAAGCTGCTGTTTCTGCCTGGGGGCTGACTGTGACTGTCCTGACGGTGCCCACGCGGCTGTGACCACAGCTATTCTTGCCCCGCGCAGGCCGTGGCCGCCCGCCGACGGAGCCGCTGCCCGACGGCTGGATCATGACGTTCCACAACTCCGGAGTGCCTGTGTACCTGCACCGGGAGTCGCGGGTGGTCACCTGGTCGCGGCCCTACTTCCTGGGGACGGGAAGCATACGGGTAGGGGCCGTGTCCCTCGTGCGCTTGGTCTCATGAGTTGCAGGGGGAGGGTGGCCGCCAGGCAGGCCGGTGGGGGCATCAGAGGCCCGTGCGTCCGGCCTGGTGACCTGCGCGGTCTCCCTCCTCGCAGAAACACGGCCCCCCCCTGACCAGCATCCCCTGCCTGCACTACCGGAAGATGAAGGACAGCGAGGAGCGGGAGCGGGGCGTGGGGCTTGCCCCCCCGGAGCCAGATGTGCCCCCAGACGAGCCTGACCCCCTAGGGGCCGATGCGGGGCCCCCAGACGAGAAGGACCCGCTGGGGGCCGAGGCCGCGCCTGGGGCCCTGGGGCAGGTGAAGGCCAAGGTGGAGGTGTGCAAGGACGAGTCCGTCGGTAAGCTTTGGGGCGAACTTGGTCCCCAGGGAGGAGGGGCCCCGTCNCGATGCGGGGCCCCCAGACGAGAAGGACCCGCTGGGGGCCGAGGCCGCGCCTGGGGCCCTGGGGCAGGTGAAGGCCAAGGTGGAGGTGTGCAAGGACGAGTCCGTCGGTAAGCTTTGGGGCGAACTTGGTCCCCAGGGAGGAGGGGCCCCGTCTGTGCCTGCCCGACCCCGAGCTCAGGAGACCTGCCCGCTGACCGGTGTCACCGCCCAGACCGCCTTTGGTCATGACCGTTCAGCCTCTGCGCCGCGGTGTGTGCGTGTGGGTCCTGGGGTCCCACCGCCGGGGTGGGCGCAGCTGCTGTTTCAGCCCCGTGGGCGCCCTCGGTCGTGGGTCATCCTTCCCATGTCTCTTCCATGGGGGCGGGCTCTCTCAGCCCCTGCCCAGTCCCTGTTAGAGAGCGGCACGTTTTTGAGCCCCAGGTGTCTGTGCGCTCCTGTCCATGAGGGGCTGGGGGCTGCTCCCAAGGAGGGGCCGCGTCTGGGGCTGGCGGGGAGGCCTCTGGGGAACGCGCTGGTGCTCTGCAGGGACGGGGGTGTTCTCGAGACACAGCTGGAAGGGGCCCTCGTCTGCCTGATGGTCTCCCCATGGCACCATCCTCAGCGCGCGCCCACTGCTCTACACTCCTGTGTGGGGAGCTCTGTGGTTTCGCTCCGTCCCTAAGTGTGCAAGCTTGAGCGTGGTGCCTCAGGCCTCTGGGAGAAGCAGTGGGGTGGGGCTGCTGGGAAGCCTGGGATCCTGGGGGAGAGGCGGGGGCAGGAGGCCGTGCTGGGCGCCATGCCTCTGCTGCGGGCCATCGGCACCTGGTTCCCATGGGGAGAAGGTCCTGGAGGCTGATAGTGGTGTTTTTTTCTAACATTCCTTTTTCTTTGTTTATTTTTGTTTTTTTTTGTTCTAAATAAACTAAAGGGGTAGCCCAGAAGTTTCTCCTTAGGGAACCTGGCAGAGCGAAGGAGCCTGATTGCTTGGCTCCTCATCCTTGAGGGGAAGCGGGAGGGGTGTCGTGTGGCCAGGACCCGTCCTGCCACCTAGGGGGTAACTGGTTGGGAGTTCGTCACTTTTGTCTCTGGTCAATCCGCGCAGACCTTGAGGAGTTTCGGAATTACCTGGAGAAGCGCTTTGACTTTGAGCAAGTGACCGTGAAGAAGTTCAGGACGTGGGCTGAGCGTCGGCAGTTCAACCGAGAAATGAAGCGAAAACAGGCCGAGTCAGAGAGGCCCATCCTGCCCGCCAACCAGAAGCTCATCACACTGTCTGTGCAGGACGCGCCCACAAAGAAAGGTGAGCCCAGCCCCGTCCGCCCTGCGGCGCAGAGGTCCCCTCCACAGGCGGGGTCCCAGGCTGTTCTGAGACAGCCCCTGTCGTCACGTCACAGAGTTTGTCATCAACCCCAACGGGAAGTCTGAGGTGTGCATCCTGCACGAGTACATGCAGCGCGTGCTCAAGGTCCGCCCCGTGTACAGCTTCTTCGAGTGCGGTGAGTGCCGCCGCCCCTCCCGGCCTTCCTGTCCCCGCCTTGTGTCTCGGCCTCCTCGGGCATCGGGCGCTGCCTGGGGCTGCTTGTCAGCCCCGCCTGCTGGGATGAGACGGGAAATGGAGGGGGTCGTCCTCACCTGCCGCCCCCTCCCCACGCCCTGCGCACAGCGTCTGCCCCCCCACAGCCACCCCGGCCTCCGGCTGGAGGAGCCGCGGTCCTGTGCTGGTTTCCGGCCCCTCTGTGCTGCCTGCAGCGCTCCTGAGTGAGGGCTGGAAGCTCGGGTCCGCTGTGGTCTCCCTGCTTCTTGGGCTTGCTGAGTCTGCATTCCCACCCCTGCCTTTTGTGTGTGCCCCTGCGCCCATCCACCTTTCTCAGACCTTGGTCTCTGTCCCTGGCAGCTCTGCCTCTGGCCCGTCTCCCTCTGTGGCTGCCCAGTGTCCCGGGGACCCCCGCCTTGCCTTCCTGCCGCAGCCGTGCCCCACGCTCTGCGGTGAGCAGAGTGTGTGTGTGCTGGTGTGCTGTGAACGTCCTGGNTCGCTTTCTGCCATAAGGGTGGTGTCATCTGCTTATCTGAGGTTATTGATATTTCTCCCAGCAATCTTGATTCCAACTTTTGCTTCATCCAGCCTGGCATTTCACATAATGTACTCTGCATGTAAGTTAAATAAGCAGAATGACAATATACAGCATTGACATACTCCTTTCCCAACTTGGAACCAGCCCGTTATTCCATGTCAGATTCTAACTATTGCTTCTTGACCTGCATACAGATTTCTCAGGAGGTAATTATGTCTTTTAAAATAAATTATAAACTGTTCTCACCAAAAATAAAAAGAAATAAAACATTCCAGCATGCCAGAAACCCCTGTCACGCCCCCTTTCCTGTCTCCTCCTCAAGGTCACCACTGTTCTGATTTTTATGGGAATCATGGACTAGATTTTTTGCTATGGTACCATCATCACCCCTGAACACTACAGTAAACCTTGAACTTCATGGTGTGATATCACAGTACNGAATCATGGACTTGCTTTTTGCTATGGTACCATCATCACCCCTGAACACTACAGTAAACCTTGAACTTCATGGTGTGATATCACAGTACGTATTCCTTTGTGTCTAGCTTCTTTCATCAAATATTGGGTTTGAAGGTTTCATTCACACTGTGCATGTGGCTGTAGTTCAATCAGTTTCACTGTTTTGTAGTATTTGTACTAGGTTGAACAGTGTCTCTCCAAAATTTATGTTCACCTAAAACCTCAGAATGTCGCCTTCTTTAGAATAGGGTCTTTGCAGATGTGATCATTTAAAATGAGATCATACTGGATTAGGGTGGAGTCTGAACTCTATGACCAATGTCCTTACAAGAAGATATCGAGAGGAGAAGGTCATGATAAGACAGAGTGATGCAGCCACAAGCCACAGTGGTTGCAGGCAAGCCCCAGAAGCTATCGGGGAGACAGAGCAAAACCTCTGTCCCAGGAGCCAGGAGGAACTAGCCTGGCCAAAATCTTGACTGTGAACTTCTAGCCTCCTGAATTGGGAAGAATACGTTTCTGTGATGGGAAGCCACCAGTTTATGGTAACTTGCTATGGTAGCCCAGGGGTTTAATACAGTATTCCACTGCACAAATCAGCCACAATGTGCTTATAAATAAAGTTCCACTTGGGATCCATTCTGCAGCGGAGGTAGTTTGGTTAGTTTCAGGCTGGTAGCAATTACGAGTACCGCTTCTGGGAACACTGTGATCACGTGTCTTGGAGCAGAAGGCTGACACGCCTCCTCTATACCACACTGCTCCCTGCATGCTAAGCCTCTGATGGCTATGCCTGTAGAAACTCCTGGTCCTCTCATGAAGCAGACTCAGAAGAAGGAAGAAAGGCTGACAGTGCAATCGGCAGAGCCCTGGTGATGCCTCTCGACCTGCCCCAGCTCCAGCCCAGGCTGCAGAATCAGGGGCCCCTCACCCTCTCCTGCCCGAACCCTCCTCCTTGCCTCCATCTCTGGCCGTGCTGTGGACCTCACCCCAGCCATGACTTCCTGTTGACAGGACCCCCTGCACACACACACACACACACACACACACACACACTGACGTTGACCTTGCGTCTACCCCAGCCAGTCTCTGATCCCCCTTTCAGCCCCTTTCTTCCTTTGCTGGTTGACTGGGTTTGGGACTGGACCCACTCTATTGTCTGTCTCGTGGACTCAGCCAACGCATCTCCGGTGGGAAGTCTTAACGATGCATCCCTCTTGCAAGGAGAGGCTTTTTGAAGTACTTTCTCTCCACCAAGGAGGAAATCCATTGGTGGCAGAGAATGATCATTCCCAAGGACAGCAGAAGGTTAGGGGCAGGGCACACAGGTGTCTTGGGGAGGAAGAGGTGAATGGCATTTCAGTGGAAAAGGAGATGCTGGTGCTCATGACTGCAGCGCCTCTCCCAGAGACAGCATCACGGGGAAGAAAGAATGTGCCTGTCAGCTGCCAGAGGGCTGAGGTAAACGCCTGCCTCCACGTCTTCAGCGCCTGCTCCTCGGGATGACTCACTTTCTAAGCTTCCAGAGCTGTGACGACGATTGTTTATCTGACACGGACGTCGAACTTGTTTTCATGACTGCAATACTAACCCAAAGCCCGCTGGGTTGCCTTTTTCTGGAGTAACAACATCCTCTTGTTATGAATTCTGTGTTTCACTTGGATCTATCTTCTTAGCATTTGTATTTTTCTGTACAACTCGTTCTGGGAACTTGGGAAAATAGCCGTATTGATGTAGATAGAGTTCCTTTTTTGTTTTAGTCTTAGGGATAATCTACTGCTTTGATTGTGAAATGCGATGACAGACCAGTGGCTAACCCCACCCATCAGTGCTCTGAAGCCAGGAGTTGAATATTTGTTTCATGAGGATTTCAGCAGCCGATATTCATTCATGGCTGCTCAAAGGTCTCCTACAGAAAAGTCTAGGGAGATGGTGGGTGAGGGGCTATAGTTGAGAACGGAAATGTTTAGGGTTATGGGAAAGCAAACTTTTTTGGAAAAAATCCTAAGTTTTCAAAGATGCCACGTCTTCTCTCCCAACTCATAAGTTAATGTGTTAGAGGTAGGGATATCAGTCGAGGTGAGATCAGGGAGGCATGATAAGTAATTTGGGGAAACAGATCTGCTGTAGAAATGAGATGGTGAATAATGGTGGGAGCTGGTGAAGAGGGCTGTTAACTCTGCATTTGGTGGGGGACAATTCTGAAGTCACTGTAGGTTGGCAAGCCAGGCAGTTAGGAAGAAATTCTGGGAAATGGAGTTCTGATAGAAGTAGCAGGCAGAGGTTAAGTCTGGAGCTCCATCACAGAGGCACCACTAAGCTAACGCGCATGCCACTTGACTTGTGCCAGACACATTTCTAAGCTCTTTGTATGTGTTCAACTCATTTAATCCTCTCAACACCCCTATGAAGTAGTTGTTTTCATTATCCCTATGTCACAGTGAGAAAACTCAGAGAAGATCCTGAAGCTTCTAAGTCACAGGCAAACCCTAGTTCAATAGCAGGAATGCTGGGCAGTCTTTCATTCATCTTCTTCTTTTTTTTTTTTTTTACAGCCTACCATTCTTTAATACTGAATCTTGCTTTGTTTTCCTTTTCTGTTTTGAAGCTCCTTGCCCCTCTCCCTATGAGACTTGAGAGGCTCTGGCTGGATTTTCTCGTGAGTGCTCTTCCTGGGATGATCGTTGTTCCCCTCTTCCCTGCAAATCATTTGACTTCCCTGCAAGTCAGTTTTCACTAGGTAACAAATGAACTCAAATAGTGTTTAAACAACATTCATTAATTCTTGCTTTTGTCTCTGAGGGTTGGCTGAGGGTCTGCTGATCTAGGCTGGTATTACCTGAGTGGTTCTGCCTCAAGTTAAAAGTCCAGATGGACTTGGCATCTCATTGATTTGGGGCTCATGTCAGATCCATGCATATTGATTGTTGCTAGAAGGCAGTGCCTACACAGGACTAGCACTTCTCATGATAATAGAAGAGGTACAGAGAGAAACAGGAGATTCAGAAACTACTCCTTAAGACTAGGTTGAAGCAAAAACCACTACAATAAAATAAATAAATAAAGGGATGCTCTTAGAAGAAAAAAAAAGACTAGGCTTAAGTCTTTCTACCACATTCTATGGGCCCAAGCACAAGTCTGGGTCAGGGAAGTATAAATATACATGGAAAATACAGATGGCATAGTGTGTCTCCAGAGGAAGGGGGAGGATTGGGGTCAATCATATATATTATTTAACAACACTGTTATTATTTAAAGGCAAGCAACTATTGGGGGCAGGAGGAGAAGGGGACGACAGAGGATGAGATGGCTGGATGGCATCACCAACTCGATGGGCATGAGTTTGAGTAAACTCCAGGAGTTGGTGACGGACAGGGAGGCCTGGCGTGCTGCGATTCATGGGGTCACAGAGTCGGACACCACTGAGCAACTGAACTGAACTGAACTATCCTTAGGTTCTCCTTGAAATACATTTCTAGATCTCAGAAGAAAAACAGAAATGAGTCGATATTTCAGATTTGGAAAGATGACTAAGTGGTCAGCAGTCAGAGGAGAATTTTAGGCATATTCTCAGCTCTCCTCCCTACACCTCTTAAGGTCAAATTCCACCTATGATATTCCATTCTGTATCTCCATTACCCACAGGCATAGGTCCATTGATTGATGCCATCAACATATTGCTATCTTTCCAGCATCAATTCTGGTTTGTTTGCAGCCTAACCTAGGAGACAGAGGGCCCATTCTAGGTTCTCACCATCTTCCATTTCCTTTCCAAACATCTCCAAAGACATTTATCCTCCACATATAGAAGTTGGACATGATTCTCAAGGATTTAAGGAACATATTGTGCCTCTAGGGAGAAACATCTGCTCCATCCTTAAGACTCAGGTGTGTCAGAAACATAGGTTGAATTTTCTTGCGTCTACATATCTGCATCTTGTATCCTCTTATTTATTTGTTCATGTGTCATTTGTTTTAAAAAAATATTTTGTGTCCATGGCGGGGCGTGTTATCCATATTTCTTCTCTTGGGTGAGCTTTATGCCTGTTTTTTCTTCTGGGAAAAAATTAAAAACATTTTTTGGAGCTGAACTCATATTGGTCAGCTGAGTTCCCTGCAACTGGGGCAGCCCTCCTCCAAAAGAACTTCATCCTTGTAGAAGTCTTAACAACAACAACCATAGCATCAAACCAAAACCCAACCCCATTACCAATTCCCCAGGATACTACAAGCTCCTGGAGGAAAACAACGCAGGCTGTCTTCACATTTTAATATGCACAAGGCCTGGCACAGTTGGAATTCAAATGATCTTCGTTAATTAAATGAGCAAATTCCAAACCTCTGTGACACAGAGTCCGTTGTGACAACACTTCTGAAAACAAGAACACTGCCAGGTTGAATCGCTGTGGATGTTATTTTCTAGGGAAAGTTCAATTCTAGGCAAAATTATGACATGGATAAACAATTCTCTGGATTTCAGAATCTTGACTCTGTAGGTCCTCCCTCTTAAAATTCTACGTCCCTATATTCCTCTGGCTTATTCCCAGGGTGCAAAAAAAATGTAAATAAGGTTTAGAGCTATTTGTTTACTTTTTGTCCACAACGATTTATCTAGTATCTATTATAAGTTAGGTACTATGTGGGTTTTAGGGGTTAAAAAGTCAAATACAGCAGGGTAACTGCCTTGAGGCAGTTAATGAGGGATATGAACAGTGTAATAGTGTGCACACACATGTAAACATACAATGATTACACATCGTGACAAATTACCAAATGCAATGGTAATCCAGAGGAGGTACCCCTAGTCCTTCCTGGAAGAAGTGACATCTGAGCTGATTCTTGGTAGATAAACAGAAACTGGGGTGTGGTCCCAGCAGAGAGAATGGCATGTCCAAGGACTCATGCTGGAGAGCAGTGAACATTCTTGGAACACCAGGAGTTCACCATGACGGGGGGGGGGGGGGGGGGNTGTTAGTTGGGGTGTGGCTGAGCTGCGTGGTCAGAGAGAGAAGCAAAGACGGATCAGCCTGTCCCTCTTTAAGGTGACTTCTGAAGTGCTGATTTATCCCAAGGGCAATGCAGACTCATTGCAAGTTTGTAAACAGGAAAATGACCTGATAAAACTTGTGCTTTAAAAAGACACAGAGTCAGGGAGACCAGTTATGAAACCATCGCAGTGATCAGGCAAGAGGCAAGTGATCTTGTCTGGAGGATCCAGTTTGGTGACAGGTCACTCGTGACAGGCTTTCACCATCCAGTGCCCCCCACAAGCTCTGGTCTGCATGCCTTGAACACTTCACAAGCTTTGGCTACTTGATTCAGCCTTGACTTGAGCTTCCTTCTTTCATGACCACTTCATCCTGCCAAGTTTGGAGTTTACAGCCTACAACCTTTAATAGCTTTTCAGTACATAGTGCTCAGACTTTTTATTTCTTTTTAAGTGGAAAACTGTGGGGATTTTTCATGCACGAAACCTGAGAATGCATGAATGATTTGGTTCAAACTTCTTCCAAAATATTGACTTTGGGTAAAGAACAAATAACCAAATGTTAGGCTGGAGCTCAAGAATAGGTTGGACATCTTTCTTGCTGCTTCTCCTAAAAAAAAAAAAGAAGAAGAAGAAAGTGAAGAGAAAGGAAAAGCAAATGAGATTTCTCATTTCAGGAACTATATGTATACATGTAGCTGATTCACTTTGCTGCAGAGTGGAAACTAGCATGATATTGTAAAGCAACCACACTCCAATTTAAAAAAAAACAGAGCTTTCTCATTTCATCATTTAAGAATTAGTATCTGAATAATACAATAATATCCATGTGAACTTCTGTAATTCTACAGCAAACGACAGTATCACATTCTAGCCCTCAGATAAATGTCAGGCTCAGTACTGCCCATCACGCTGAGTCCTCCCCTCTGCCTTCCAGGCTGTGCCTGCATCCTCTCCCCAAACCGCCAACACCACGTAGGCAAGGTCCCAGGCAAGAGCGGCCTGGGCTTCTTGTCATTATGATATAAAGGAGTTCTGTTCTAACGATTCTTCAAAACAAGCAATGATCAAGTAAAGTGAAAATTTTGCTTTTCACTTTCCCAGGCCTGGCTACCTGTACCCGATTCTGAAGTTCCATAAGGCCACATGTGATGCAACGGGATATAACCTATTTTCTGTCCTCATCCAACCCCCTTATACCCAGATCCTGGATGCTATAGAAGCTCAGGAGCTGTTCTGCAAAAAACCACCAGAAAACATGGGGACACAGAACAAAACGGTTCACTGTCTCTCACAATGCTGCGGATTGACTGGGTACTCAAATGCCTCGCAGGGACTGACCGGGGTGTTGGGTGGTGAGAAGGTCCTCTGTGGCTTCCTGCATGAGACTGGCAGTCGGCACTCAGCGCCAACTGGGAGCTCAGCAGCGGCTGTTAGTGGGAGACTCCATACTTCTCTGTTGGGGTTCTTCTCACGGATAATCGGGCTTCCTTACAATGGCAGCTGGCGCCCAAGGGGGGATGTTCCAACAGGTGAAGTCCCTCTGCCTTCCAGGCTGTGCCTGCATCCTCTCCCCAAACCGCCAACACCACGTAGGCAAGGTCCCAGGCAAGAGCGGCCTGGGCTTCTTGTCATTATGATATAAAGGAGTTCTGTTCTAACGATTCTTCAAAACAAGCAATGATCAAGTAAAGTGAAAATTTTGCTTTTCACTTTCCCAGGCCTGGCTACCTGTACCCGATTCTGAAGTTCCATAAGGCCACATGTGATGCAATGGGATATAACCTATTTTCTGTCCTCATCCAAGCCCCTTATACCCAGATCCTGGATGCTATAGAAGCTCAGGAGCTGTTCTGCAAAAAACCACCAGAAAACATTGGGACACAGAACAAAACGGTTCACTGTCTCTCACAATGCTGCGGATTGACTGGGTACTCAAATGCCTCGCAGGGACTGGCCGGGGTGTTGGGTGGTGAGAAGGTCCTCTGTGGCTTCCTGCATGAGACTGGCAGTCGGCACTCAGCGCCAACTGGGAGCTCAGCAGGGGCTGTTAGTGGGAGACTCCATACTTCTCTGTTGGGGTTCTTCTCACGGATAATCGGGCTTCCTTACAATGGCAGCTGGCGCCCAAGGGGGGATGTTCCAACAGGTGAAGACGGAAGACGCTCTTCTCTTACACAGCTTCCGCTACGTTCCTTGGTTACAGCTGCTCACAAAGCTGGTACAGATTTAAGGGGAGAGAAAATAGACTTTAGTTCTCGATAGAGAAACGGTGGGATCTGTTGTATAAGAGCACGTGGGAAGGGGGAGAGACTCGGGGCCATCTTGAGCAGAAACAGGAGGAAGCCTGTCCTTAGAGGCTGTGTGGATGGCTGATTCAGAAGTGCTGAGATCCGGGTGGTGATGGGCAGGCTCTCCTGGGCTAGGATCAGTGAGTAGCTAAAGCAGTAAACCCTTGTTATGGATCCCTTTGTTAAAAACAAACCAGCTTTCAGGCTTGTTTTGGGGGACATGGTTGTAAATATCCTCCCTATAAAAAGGCCGTTGGTCTCTTTAAATCTGGCCCAGAGCACAGTCTGATCCCGAGGGAAGGAGTCATGACCGCATCCTTCAGATGAGACTGGGCACGTTCAGGGTGGTATGGCTGTAGCCTACAGTTTCCTTCAATGTACACTGCGAAGGTCTGGGTGGTGACAACCTGGTTGCAGTGGATGGATCCAGAGTCCAGGCCAGAGAAGCTGGACCAGAGGAGACAGCGGGCAATGAGAGGCCTCTCCTGACACCCCATCCACCAGAATCACGTCTCATTGAGGGTGACTCCCCAACATGCTCAAGTGGAAACAGACATGCAGAAATGAACAGAGAGAGCAGCAGGGGGAAAAAGCAGCTGAGTCACGAGGGTGGGGTCAATGGGACAGAAAGAAATGGGCGCCCAGTCCCGGGGAACAAGGTGTTCAGGACACCAGAGGCATCGCTGGCCCGAACTGTGGACCTGTTACAGCTTCCTCTGCACCTGGCCTGAGGACGAATGCCCGGGGATGTCCCTCTGTCCTCCACGCTCCAGCCTCACTGGCCTTCTTTGAATTCCTGAAATTTACCAAAGTGCAGAGAAGGGCCTCTGCACCAACCTATCCCTATGACTAGAAGATTCTGCCCCAAGACCTTCCCCACCAGGCTCATCGGAGCTTTCAAGCCTCAGTCACTTCTTCAAAGAAGTTTTTCTGGACCATGCAACCTGGAGTAGCTTCAGACCCTTCTCCCCTATCTCTCAGGCATATCGTCAGATTCTTGACTTCCGAGCATTTACGCCATCTGAAATTACCTTGCTCATTTACATGTTTTTATTATTTATTAGCCCTCACTCAAGTGGAAGTTCCATGTGGTCAGGAACCTTGCGGGTTTTTATCCACCACTAGCAGACTCCCTGGAACCTGGAACACAGTCTGACACACCATCATGCCCAGTATTTGCTCAGGTGGGTATCCTTCTTCATTCCTCATAAATTGAAAGCACCTCACACCTACAGGGCAAGTGCCCCGAAAACCTTCGTGGTAGATGACTTTGTGGTGAGGAATGGCAAGGTGGCCCAAAGCCGCAGAAATCCTCTGCACCGACCAACACTTAAGTTCCCTAAAGAGGCTTCCTTGGTGACTCAAAAGATAAAGAATCTGTCTGCAGTACAAGAGATCCAGGCTCCCTCCCAGGGTAGGGAAGATGCCCCAGGGCAGTGAATGGCTGCCCACTCCAGTGTTCCTGCCTGAACCATTTCATGGACAGAGGCGCTGGCGGGCTACAGTCCCTAGGTCTACGAAGAGTCGGACATGACTGAGTGACTGACGCTAAAACAGCAAAGTTAAGGGCTTTTTGCTGCCGAGTTGCTTCAGTCATGGCTAACTCTTTGCAACGCTATGGACTCAAGCCTACCAGGCTCCTCTCTGTGTCCATGGGATTCTCCAGGCAAGAATACTGGAGTGGGTTGCCATTCCCTTCTCCAGGGGATCTTCCCAACCCAGGGATCAGACTCACCTCTCTTAACATCTCCTGCATTGGCAGGCAGGTTCTTTACCACTAGCACTACCTAGGAAGCCAAGGGCATTTTGCTCCCCTGTAATTAACAGCATGGTGCTGGAGAAGACTCTTGAGAGTCCCTTGGACTGCAAGGAGGTCAAACCAGTCCATCCTAAAGGAAATCAGTCTTGAATATTCATTGGAAGGACTGATGTTGAAGCTGAAACTCTGATACTTTGGCCACCTGATGGGAAGAACTGACTCATCTGAAAAGACCCTGATGCTGGGAAAGATTGAAGACAGGAGGAGAAGGGGACGACAGAGGATGAGATGGTTGGATG